CGAGTGCACAAGGTGCAAATAGGCCTCGCAAATGGTTTATTATGTACATAATGTATTGCGAGTTGTCACCAAAATCTTTACTTATTGGTTTGTCATAGTATTTTGCGAAGGTTAGGCTGTTTGACCAGCCTCCTGCCTTGAGTATATCTGCTAAGGGTAGACCAGACAACTTACAGTAGGAGGTGGAGGCTGATCTACCACTGTTCTCGGAGAATTGTGATGTATCAATCTCAGCGTCTTTGAGTACTGATTTTACCCATTTCCCTATTGTGGAACTTGTTACTGGTTTATGTGGTTTAGCGAAGCTGATGAGTAGTTTATTATCTGCTCTTAATCTTGAAGTGAGTTCTAGATATTGAGTGATATGTCCTACCACACACAAGTTTGGGTTAGGTTTGTATTCTCGTAGTTCTATAGGGTCAAGGTGTCGACCTGGTTTTGAGGTTTTTAGAGTTTCCCTTATCGTAAAGATGTACCTATTCTGTGTCTTTTGCATGAATTCGATGTTTAATCTTGAGATGGTCTGGCAGCGTTGACCCGTTAGTAGGCATAACAGTGTCGTCAATTTGAGTGTCAACACCTTCAGCGAGAGGTCACGCAAAGGAGATAGTGTGTTCAAATAATTAAGTACGGTTCCCACATCCCAAACGTGTATACCTAGGTAATGAGGGTTTCATTTCGTAAACACCCTTTAAGAGTCGTATAACTAACGGATGAGTTCCAAATGTGACGCCTGTTGTGTCAATGACCATAGATAGTGCTGACCTAGCAGTATTGATTACGCTATATCCCAGCCCCTTCTCATAATTAATGCCGTTTTCAATGGACGCATTAGGGGGGTCTATGTCATTGTCAGCGCAATATTGTTCCCAGCGTGTTAAGTACGACTGGTACTGCTTACAGGTGGATGATCTCCACGAGGCCATTATGATTTCGCTTGCTTTTTTGCTGATAGGCCGTCGTCCTAAGGCTTTCCTGACACTTGGCAGAAGAGAAGGTTCAGTTTTTTCCAAAGAGGGTGCAGAGCAGTCTTGTCGTTGGGCAGAGTGAGAAGCGTTTTCTGTGCTGTTAGCACTATCGGAGATTGAGTTGATATTTTCATCACCTGGGGATACCATGCCTGGGTTGGCCAGTCTGGTATCACTATCACCCCCTCGGCGTTTTCTTCCCGTATTTTCTTCAGCACTCTTGCTAACAAGCTGAAGGGAGGGAAAGCATAAAAATTTTAATTTGACCATGAAAGCGTTAGTGCGTCTATGGCGTCCGTGGTTAGCGTGTAGTTTGGGCGTTCCCGTTTAATGACATTAAACGAGCTAATTACATTATCAACCCACCACTGTAATTCGCGCTTGGCGCGACTGGAAAGAGTCAAGTGTTTGTCAAAATTCCAGTTAGTTCCTTTTAGTGCCTTTGTTTTGTCTCGTTCCAAAGACCTAAAGTATAATGGCCCGTACATGACCCCCGGAAATGTGGCGATCATCTTGCCTATAACTCATCAATGTAAGCAACAATGACATGGCCATTCTCGTGAAGCTTGGCTAAAACAGGTTTTAGAACTTTTGTGAACTTGCGCGGCGCACATGAAAGCCCATTAGGCAGGCATGTGTACCTATATAATTTGTTATTCCAAATGAATTTCAGGAATTTCCTGTCCGATGGTGCAATTGGCACAGAGTAGTAAGCATCTTTCAGGTCAATGGATGCCATGAAACAACTTGGTTCAATTAAATTAATAACAGTTTGTAAAGTGTCCATTTTGAAGTGAACCTTAGGAGAGGATTTGTTCAGTTGTTTAAGGTTCAAGATTAACCTATGTGTGCCGTCTTTCTTAGGCCTGGCGAATATATCAGATATGATTTCGCCATCAGTATGCCCGGTGGGCTCGATAATTGTTTTACTCAAGAATTKATCGATTTCGGCCTGTATAGCACTTCCCTCTCTCTTTGAGAAATTTAGTGGGTATAAGCGATGTTGTTCAGGTTGAGCAGTAAAATCAATTCGTAAACCCATTATGGTTGAGATAACTTCGTGGTCAGTAGTTAATTGGCGCCAGTTATGTAAGGAATGACGCAGGCCTCCTGCTTTAAAAGATATGCATCTAGCGCGCAAATAGTCGATTAAAGTTGGTGTGACCCCTAAATTTAGTGTTTGTAGTTACCTCTTTGTATAGCCGTGACAGTCCGTCCATTATTTCTCTTCGTCCTTGTTGGTTTGTGGTTTCTTGCCCTTGTGAAAACCCTGACGGTTGTCGCTATGTTGGCGCCAGTGGCGATAGTTATCAGTGCCGGTGCGGCGTTTCTGGCTATTTGAGGAGTGCTTTGTTATTCCTACGGCTTGCCCAAGGGCGAGTAGTTTCTTTAACGTCGCGAATCTGCTTCGCTAAATCATCACCAAATAGCGACTTGTGGTTTTCGCGCTCTACATCCGCTCCACAAATGTTACGGTATTCGGGTTTTAAAACTGGTCTGATTTGTTCTTGACGTAGGGTCGACAAATCAGAGAAGGCATGGCCTAATAGCGCCAAAGCGTCCACTCCGTCATTTAGTGTAGCCTTTTTGAAACTTGTCTCAGTTTGAGATATTATCCGGTCACACATGGTAAGCACTGCCGCGGTGGTACGTTGTATAGTCTGTTGTAGGTGTTGCAACCTTAGATCGTCAGATCGTTTGTAGCTATCCAGCTGCCTCCATATTTCGGTATTCAAGCGCGGGACCACCATTTCCGCGCAATTGTCCGGTGGACAGTGTCGGTCTAGTATGGCTGTTAGTTTTTCTTTCCCCACTCGTTTTCCCCATCGTTTTGCGGCCAGGTCGGCCAAGGATTGCCGAATTGGGGATCCTAGTTTGTCACAGGGCAGGGATCCTTCTCTTATAGAGGTTGTAAATTATGGAATAACCTTAGTGATCTTAGATCAATAGAAAGCTTGAATGTCTTTAAGCGCAGCGTAGTGACTCAGTTACGCTCAGGTTAGTGAATGTCGGAGACAAAACGAATATTTGAAAGAGGAGTTATTCAAGATAAGGCAGACCATGACAGCTCCAAAACGCAAGCACACGGAATTGTCAAAAGGCAGAATATTGAAAGTAGAACTTAATTAAGTCTAATACATATACATATGCTGTATTAATCTTAAAATGCATGTGACAAGTGATACAGCTGCTGCTTTGAATCTTTAACTATTATTCATTATGACCTGATTATGATGATTATTTTTTAGTAAATCCAATTGCCGATGGAGATACAGATCAAGCCAAGAATATCGAAACCGAGGCAGCTAATAGCCCTGGTGTGCCAGGTGAATACGCTGATGCCGATATTGCTCGGAAAGTAAATGTATGTAGCTTCAAGTTATAATTTCATTTTTTGTATTTCTAAATTTTTAAATGCTACTTATTTATGCTCAGTGATGGTAAATATACGATGATTGATATACTTAGTGGGTTTGTTGCTTTTTTATTTTACAGCTTGTGCCATTAGTTCCTGGAAGCAATGTTTTCCTAAGTAAGCCCCTCAAAATTGGCCACAGCCGGCAATGGCGTTCCATCACCAACGATCCTGTCATATAATCTGTTGAGTATTTTTCGAGAAGGAAACGATTAGTGTAAGTAACTACAATGGAGGGGACACAGCAGGTTATACAGCCTTAGACAAAGCCATCATAGGTAAATATGACGATATGAAAATGAGGACCGCGTAGCACTATACGAAATACATAGACTAAAAATAATGGTAAGGTGTAGTGCTTAGGAATGAGGTTATTCCGGGCGAAATACCCTTGGAAATATATTCGGAAACAATCAATTTCCGACGAGGAATTCCCAGCAAGGTCGAACATTAATGGTTCCGAATATATTTGCAAGGGTATTTCGCCCGGAATAACCTCATTCCTAACACTACAGCTCACTACGCCTTAAAACCAAACATTACCATTATTTCTAGTCTAGGTAAATATGACAGTCTTCTTTCACAGTGCTTTCTTCTTTGCACAAAATCCTATTCAGGGAATAAATCATTTATTGATTCTTTGTATTGCAAATATTCACATAATACCCGCGTTTATATTTCATAATGCCAAGGTTAAAATGCCTCAGACAAAAACTTCAATGATCAGTGCAGCAATTAATTCATATTGCACACGCATAAGGAATCAATTGAAGGTAATACTCAATATGCATGTAACTCATGAAGTAGTTAAATAATGGTTACTTAGTTAATTGCTAGTCAAGGCTCCTTCAATTGACTGTTCGAAACTGCTCCTATCATAATATTCCAATGACAATGTCCTTCCATAACAAACATATTTTATGGACATCCAATGTAAGCCATTTTCATTCGCGACAATCATGTCATGTCATTTTCTTATTTTCAGGTTAACGAAAACAAGAATGAATAAGGCAGCAACAGTTTTTCCCCCCTTAAGATTGCACCTCGCGTTTCTTGCCACATTATAATTATATCTTAATTTTAACAAATATTTTGTTAATTAGATCTTCCCAAGGTGTATAATATTTTGGGTAAGAATCTATTATTGAGTATGAACTGCACATTTTTGTTGGAGTTAAATAAGATTTTCATTTTTATGCTTCATGCAGACTATATAAAATACTGAACCAATTAGTTTAGCTATATCATACACCTCAAAAAGTATTATTTAAAATTAAGTTACTACTATATTGGTGTTGAGCAGCATCAGCAGTGTCTTTATTAATGAAAATAATTCATGTTTTCTTAAAGTGCCTATCAACCTTAGCCAATTGCTGTTTTTCCTAAAACTATATCTCATAATTAAAGGTTTTTCATTTAAAAAAAGTCATTTCGATATTTTGCTTTATTTAAAATCCCAATCAAAATCACCGTCTTCTTACTCAAAAACGCGCAAAAAGAGGACTGGGCGCTAATAAGACCTGTGACGTCGACCCGGTATCACGCATCGGCGCGTCTGTATGATTACAATGATTGTCTTTATAACTTCTCTACGCGATCTCTATTTTTCTTGCAAAAAAAACTTTTCCTTTCAAATTCTTTTTAAAATGTCGAATGCAGAAACCGATTCTTCATGTAGTAATGATTCGGATGATTCTGAGACCGATTATTTACCTGAATACCTGTTGGAAGTTGAAGGTCAACAAGACGATCTTGAACAACAAGACACTTCTGCGTCGACAAGGAAAGGGCTAACAGCTGTCGATTATTGCGATGTTTTTCAACCATATACCGATGAGCCGATTGCAAGCGAGGAATGGCTTGAAGAATATAGAAGTCAGCAAGAAATTCAACAAGAATTTGAACGTAAACTGCAGAGTCGATCTGATGAAATGGAAGATGTAAAGTTGTGGTAAGTGTGCGAGTTTGATCACGAACTCACGATGTTCTCCTAATAATATTTCAGTTCGATAGCTTAGTTTTATCKCATCTCATTAGGTGCAAGTGTGGAAATTGCCAAACCGAGTATCTTCAAAATCCAAACRAATACCAGTGCTGTCTGGAAATCGAAGAATGTGTTGAATCGCTTTCTAGCGACATAGTTCGAGAAGAATGTCTTGAAATTCCAGACTGCATCACTCTTCATCCTGGTTTTGAGCAAGTTTGCCTTTCTAAATGGAGTTTAAGATTAGCAGCCGACAAATACAAGACAAAAGTTAATAGTAGATACAGTCAGACTGGATCAGAGGAAAGGTAACGTATATAATATTATAGCACAATACACTACAACTCGATTCTCTCAAAACTTGTAWAAGTTCTTATTTCAATGTCTCCAGATGAGAGATCTTAGTAGATCTTAAGTATGATCTCTTATCTAGGGACCTTGAAATGAAAAATTTTCTTAGTTTGGAGAGATTTGAGTTTTGGGGTGGCACAACATTACATTTATAAATCCGATTTACAAGCCCACTTAAGGCATACAGYATTGTCTTTATTTCGTTGTTACGTGTATACGTTTTTTGACTGGGAACACGAAGCAAAAGTTAAAATATACCATTATTTTTTCTTCCTACTTGGTTGTAAGCCCTATCAGTTATAAGCCGATATTTGGAAGGAAAAAAACACTTACGAATGAGGGCTTATTAGCTGGGATTTTTAAGTTTCCCCAAGTTATAGTTTTGAAAATKTTTTTCATCAGGTTCCTGCGTAGTATTGCATATAGGGAATTCACACGCCTTGTCCATGGTTACTTGGGTGGAAGAAGAATACCTTTGCCAGCTTGTGCATATAACAAAATTAGAGAAAAATTTAATGACAATGAATACATTGGATTTGAAGTTGAGGAGAATGATGAATAAATATTDCATGTCAATTATAATCATCTCTATCATTGAGACAATATTTGTAAAAGTATACTAGGACAGAAACACTAATATGTGAAATAGATGTTGTAGCAAAAAATCAGTGCAAGTATCTTTCTTTCATTTTTATCATTTCTATTTGACACTAATTCGTAAGAACTGTATAGTACTGTATAAGGTTAGTGTTAAAAAATTGGTTTCAATATATACAAGTTTATTTCAATACAGTAAGTCATTAATAGATAGTTA